GAGAAAGCGAAGGTTAATTATTTACTAGTTTGCAATGCTTTGAGGATAAGGACAGGCGAGAAGTTAATCAGGGAGGCATATAGAAATTTACAAATAAAATGTGGGTTTCGAAGAATCTTCTAAGATAAGTTTGTTGCATATTAATGCATTTGTTAGATCAATCTCACCAGAAGACACCAGTTGATTAGCGTTTTACTGCAGGCGTTTGGCTTTACTACGACAAAACTATGACTGACCATCAAGGTCCAGCTGATACAAGATGATCCTCTCCTGTGTTCGATCTTATGTTGGTGATATATGTCGGCCAATTCATTAAAGAATAGCTAAGTACAAGAATGTTTGTATAGACACTAGCTAAGCACATGACGGAGACTGAACATAAGATAGAATAGTCTCGGCATCAGGGGGCTGCTGATTTTGGTAGATCTGTTACAAAACACAAGTTAGGAGGGTACATTTAAATTAGTAGATTCGGGAATACATTGAATATGAAGAATTGTGGTAGGAAGGTGATTAAAATTCACTTATGCTTGATTGAAAGATGTATAGATTTGGAGAGAGAGAGGCTGTTGAGCCGCCGTCCAAAAGAAGATGACTCAAATTTTCAGCTGACTGATGACTCTAACCAAGTGAACACTTCTTCAACAGACATGTCAAGCTCATCAGCTAAAACCCCATCCAAGCTTATCTTTGAGTCATTAAACCCTAATAACCCAGACTAATGGGTTCGGACTTGTGGTTTCGTAAACTGACTTACACGCATTCAGGCTTACATCTCATCAATTCAACCAGGATTACTTACGGACTAACACGTATATTATTAATATCTTCTATATTAATGGCAAAAATAAGTTTAGCTTATAGTGAGGCTCAAGGATTTCGTTTTGATGAACTTCATCTTATAGTCCTTGCAATTGGCTCGACTATCTAAGCAGACGCAAATCGCATAACCCACTCTCCACTTCGACTAGAAACATGATAGACTGCAATGTGAAAATAAGTATGTCTCCTAGTGAGGCTTATGAAGATCATATATATATATATATATATATTTATTTATTTATTTATTTTGTATTTTTATATATAGGTGCCATAATAGCCCAAAAAGGGCCTATTCGAAATACGGGATTTTTCCTATATATAAATATCTGTCCATCCACCCACAAATCCACTTATCCAGCTTTCCATCTATATGCCTATCCACCAAAGCAACCGAACCACCTAATCTCCTATTCACCAATCACCATTGCATCTCTACATCATCCACTTATCCACCCATTCGGCCACAAACTATTCCACCTATCCATCCATCCGTCTATCCTTCCTGACGGGCACATGAAGAATGTGACTTGAAGGGTACAGGTGAGGCAAACGTCACTGGACTCAGTCGGTGCTAAGGCCAACCGGATAATTTATGAGTATTAAGTGGGCCGTCTTACAACCCCGTACCAACAGACACCCCCTCTGACCCTCTGCGATCCCGCCCCTCGTGGCCTCCGTGTCCGAGTCCGGGGCTGTCCGGACACGCCAGACACGCGGCGAGTTCGCGCATGTCGTGCAGTATGCCTCGAGGCAGAGAGCCGCAGTCATGGCTACAAAAAACATGAAGTTGGCGGATTAATTGCCTTTCTTGGTTGCATGAATTATTGCCTTTTACGCCACTTGATTGGATTCGTGTCGGATGGGCTAATCCCGCCCGGACGAACGGACAAACGGACGGACGGACGGACATGCGGCCAGTCTACAAGGCGTCTAGAGGTCAAGTGTGCACTTGTGCGCTTGTCCGTGAATGTGTGTCTTTCCGCAAATATGCATTGTTGTCATGTGTGATGGTGTGCATTTATCTGTATTCGAGTATGCGGATGCTATTGTGCCTTGCCTCTTTTGTCTACTTTTCTCTGCATTATGTGCTTGTGTGTATGTGTGTATATGTGTGTATGTGTGTGTGTGTGTGTAAACATGGCATCTGGCCGGCCAGTGCTGTCATGTGGCCGGTGCCCTCGAGAGAGCCGGCAAGTGGGGCAGCCGAGTTGTCGGGACAAATGCGACCTGTGGTCACCAATGTCTTGTTGTCTTGCACGAGGCTTCTGGCCCGCCCCGCGACAAGCCTAGAGACTCGCGAGCGGAGGCTCGACGGTTGCCATGGTTCAGGGGACCGAGACGGCGTCTTTTGGCCTCGACGACAAGGAACTTGTGGGGCCACCGGCGAAGTCCACCGAGGTGGGTTGGAGGGTTTTGCGTGTCCCGTTGGTGCTTTGGTGGACAACATTTCCGAATGTAGGTGGGCTTCGTGTCTGTCAGTAGCGCTTGAAAAAGAAGAAGATACATAATATGCATAATTTACTTTAAGGTGATTGATGAAAGAATTAAAATGTGAGTTTTCTCACAATCAGATTAGTCGGTTACAAGATGCTAATGCTGTTCAGTTCGGTTCTTATTCAAGATCTATTGCTGGCGTCGGAGGATACTATCAACTAAAATAGGTAGTCAGGCCAGGGGATTGAAGGACTGGTAGCTGGTTGAGTTTTGTCACACGATCAATTGAAGAAGATACCGGATGCCCATTGAAAAGTAAAGAAAATCTCTTAGATTAGCAGCGTCAAGAGTGAGAGTGACAAACACATGTTTGCTAATTGTACACTTCTGCTGAATCGTGTGATTTGAATGAGACCTGGTCTTCCTAAACTGGCTAGTCTTGCGGGCAGCCTAATCGCACGTGGGGCTGTGGCGGTCGGGAACCTGGTTGAAATCCCGCCAAGAGTCTTTCGACAGGCAAGATTGGGATAAACTCTGTAGCATCCACTGGCAACTATCTCTCCTTAAATCACCATTACCCACACAGGCTATCCAATTTCCTATACGATCTATTTATTTGGAATGTGATTATTTTTATAAGAATTATTTATACTTTTTAGTCTAAGGCGATAAGTTGAATGGTAGTGGAATTTACCATTGGTCAGATGGGCTAGGCTTAGTTACCCTTTGAAATTCACGTAGTACTACTTCCTAAAAGTGTTCTCATCCAGAATGGATTCACAATGCGTCTCGAAGCCGGGTCTTGGTAGGTCAGCGAGTAATCTCGGCTCATTAACCGTTGAGCCTCACTGCCACAATTGCCCTCGGGTAGCATGGGAGAAAGGAATTTCAAGGGAGGCCAGGCATTTGTTCACGTGTCGTATTCTCAGATGAGATTGTGAATCACGCAATGCTCTATTTGCTATAACGGTCGAATGTATTATTTTTACATAAAAGTTATGTTTACCCTATTTCGTTGAAGGTGATCAAGGACTGGTAGATGAATTTTCCCACAAGCATATGAATAGAGCTATAGTTTCCAATGAATTTCGCATGGCCTATAAGGTGGAGTGCAGTTTCGGTTTGGCCTAGGTCATATCAACATCCACAGCCAGGACTCGAACCAAGACAGTGCAGTTTGTTATTTCGACACTTCAACCACTACGTCACATTGACACGAGGGACTTTGTGTCACAGGGCAGTCTGTCATCACCTTAAATGTAATAGAGTGAACACAATTCATAGATACGATTGACTGGTGTTTGAGTAGAAATACTCAAAAATGAAATATAACTAATGTCAGAGATTGATATGGCACACGCAAGTTTGCTTCATCAGCCATCACACCACAGATTTTGATACGAGAAATTTCCTGTCCCTCCTTAAAATTCACATTTTCCCTGTGACACGAGATTACTCGTATCAATGTGGCAAATTGGTTAATGCGTAGAGAACATACACTGCAGTGTCACAATTCGAGACCTACTGAGGGTGTTGATAAGACATAAGCAAGGTTAAACTGCAGTCAACACCCTAACCCTAACAACTTTAGGGAAATCAATAATATGTGAAATTAAATAAAATTCATTGTATGTGGAAAAATTCAACTACGAGTCCTTCATCACTTTTAACGAACTAGAGAGAAAGTTCACTAGCAGCATCAAAAGCAACACAAAATTAAAAATTATTTTCAAGATATAAAAGTAGATTATTTAAATATCAAGAGGCTAATATATGATAGAAGAGAAATAGCGAAATAGAGTATGCAAAAGGTAATTAAGAAATGATATGAATTAATTTAATCTGATTTAATCTGATTTGATTTGAGTTAATTTGATTTACTGGTAGTATCGAAACCCTACTCATTTACGAATATAATTTGATTATATTTCTTCAGATATAATTTGAATTTAAATAAATTGATTTGATTTGATTCTAATTGATATGATTTAATATGATTTTGTAAAAATTAAATAAATTAGATTTTATAATAATTTGATTTGAATTAATTTGATTCAAGTTGATTTAATTTGATTTGATTTATTTTGATATAGGTGTACTTGACATGCGTGGATTTGATTTAAGTGAATGGATTAGAATTGATATGATTTGATACGAAATAATTTGTTTTTGACTTGATATGACTTGAATTAAATTGATTTGGTTTGAAATAAATCGATTTGATATAATTAGATTTGAAATGATATGTTATGATGTGATATGTTTTAATTTAATTTGATTTAAAAAATATGAATTGATTTACATTGTTATGAATAGGTAATATTTGTTAATAATTATTTTGATTTGATTTTAAATGAATTGAGTTGAAATGAATTGATTTGATATGGTTAGATGTGATTTGATTTTGATTTGATAAGTTTTAATTTAATTTGGTCGATTTAGCTTAGAAAAATTCGATTTGATTTTATTGGTTTAATTTAAGTTGATTGAATTTGAATTGATTTGCTGTAATTTGATTTATTTAATTTGATTTGAATTGATATGATTAAATTTGATTTGAGACAATTTGATTTTATATGAGTTGATATGATTTTAATCAATGGGTTGAAATGGATTTTATAAGATATGAAATTTATTTTGTTTGATTTAATTTTTTTAAAATAATTTGATTTCATTCAGTTGATATAAGACAAATTGAGTTAATTTATTTTAAGCTAATGTAAGAAATTTA